CTGCCCTCTCTGCTGCCGGCCGCTGCCTCCCCCCCCAAAAAACCTCCTCACCCCAACCTCCAGACCATTTTAAACTCCATGCACAAGTACCAGCCCCGCTTCCACATCGTCCGAGCCAACGATATTCTCAAGCTTCCCTACAGCACGTTCAGGACCTACGTTTTCCCGGAGACTGAATTCATCGCAGTGACCGCATACCAGAATGATAAGGTAAGGAGATTAAGAAAGGATTTGTTTTACGTGTTTTGGCTTTTAAGAGAGCTTTTACTCTGCATTGTTCCCTTAAAAAAAAATCACGAAGCCCATCCCGCTCCTCTCTCTCTCTCTTTCTCCCCCCTCTTCCCCCCCAAAAACCTCCTTGATCCAACCTCGGGCCGGCGCCTGGGGAGGGGGTCGGGCACTCTCTTAATACCAGTGCAATTAAAAAGGACGTCGGGGGGTGTGTGTGTGGGGGGAAGGTCCTGTTTTAGAGCGTGTTTTTCACTCCCCGGGATGGGGAAAAGGCTGGGATGGGGTGGGGATGGCAGCTTTCAGCGTGGATTTAATCTAAGACTCATCAGGGGAAAAAAAAAAAAAAAAGGAAAAGAATCGGCTCCGTGTGTCGAAAGACAGAGGGGGGGAGAGCAGCAGGCTGGAGATTTTGTAATTCTTCCTGGCCTTTGTGCTGTTTTAGCTCCTACAACAGCAATTGGCAATAAGGCCAGAGCTCACGTCTGGTTCCTATTATTATAATATTATGATTTTTTTATATATATAATTTTTTTTCTTCGCATCCTGCAGTGTTTTATTATTTTTTGTGGTGCAGAAATATGCTCTGATCAGAGAGGGGTATCTCGCTTGAATTTAGCTGGAAGGTCTGAACCGACCAGTGTGAGGAAGTTTTGCAGTCGCTGCCTTTTCCCTCTCTCTGCTGCTTTATTGTCGCTTGCGACCAAGGTGGTACATTTGGCAGGGCGGCAAACGGCGAATTTATGGTAATTAAGTCAAGTGGAAGGAAGCGAAGGAGCCAAAGAAAGGGCTTTGATTTTTTTTTTGATGATGATGATTTTTGTGTCTATAACTCTGGGTGCGTTGAGCGCAGAGGGGCTGGACAGACAGAGCCCGCTCGCTGCGACTTCCCCGGGCTTCCCTCTGCCCCCTCGCAGCCTTCAGCAGGCCAAATTAAGGGGTGAAGAGAAGGGGTCTGCTCTCTTCTGCCCTCCGTTTCCCAAAAAGCCGCTTCTCTCTCGGGGCTGGGGCTCCTTTCCTCCCTTCCTGCGGGCGGACGCGTGCGGGGAACGGGGCAGAACATGCGGGTAGAGAGAGCAGACTTTGCTTTGGGACTTATCAGTAGGGCTGTTCGCCCCGCTCTATCAGCTGGGGCCGGCTTGGTTTGAAGGACAGAAATGAGCACATTTGTCTGATTGCCATGAAATCGGCCGGGAAGCGGCGTGCGGGAACCCCGGGTCCCGGCGCTGCGGGAGCCGCGGGTCAAAAGGCACGGCCGGGATCACCTGGATTAAAAGTCCTGCTGGTTTTTAGCAGTGGGTTTTCCTGCTCTTTTCTGGTGGGGAGAGGGGGGGGGGGGGTGGAGGAACTGGGGAGCCGGTTCTGCTCGGCTACAGGCTCTGCGGGGTCCTGTTCTTCGCTTCGGTCCTCCCACCCCCGCATCCCGTTACAGCGAGGGGAGCTTTGAATCCACCTCCGAGCATCGCAGTGGGGAAATGCCCTGCACCCCCCGTCCCTCCAAAGGCAGGAAGAAACACCCATTCCCTGCCACCCCCCGAATCCCGAGGAATATCCCTCAATATTCCCCGTCAGACTTTCACGCACCCCCCTCAAAAAGTGAATCAAGTGGCTCCTGGCACCCCCGGCGCCCCAAGAAACACGCACACGAGGAGCATAATGCGATTATGTCAAGTATTTTATTATAGTAAGGGGGTGGGTACGATTCCTTGGCGGTTTAATGATGGCATTTCAGGAGTTTGAAGCGCAGGCATAACTCGCACGGATCGCGTTGCAGGGCTGAATTCGCGGCGGGGCGGTGGCAGCAACACGGGGCTCTGCCGGTGGCACCACAAACCGGGTCACCCGGGGGGACCAGCTGCCTCCAAAGCAGCTCGGGAAAACGGGGAGATTCACCCCAAACCCGGGACCTTTATCCCCTGCGTGTCCTGCTCCTGCCGGCTCTGGGAGAACTGGGGAGAAGGGTCGTTTGGTTTTTGGTGTTTCATACAAAATCACTTTATTTCTGCCCCAACCTGTTTATTTATTTAGCCTATTTATTTTTTGTTTGTTTGTTTGTGTGGTTTGTTGTTTTTTTTTTCTCCATTCTCTAGATCACCCAGTTAAAAATTGACAACAACCCCTTTGCCAAAGGTTTTCGGGACACCGGGAATGGAAGGAGGGAAAAAAGGTGAGTCGGGATCTATTCGATCTCGGTGGCTCGTTTGGGTTTTGTGGCTAACTCGGAACACCAGCAGAGCTCAAAATCACCTCGTCTTGCTTCCAAACCACACTCGCCCCCTCTCCCCCCTCCCCCCTGCCAACATTCGTAAGGGTCTTGTCATTAAGAAGGGCGAACTGGTTGCATTGGGAATTCTTTGCTGGGTTCCACGGTTCATTTTCCCATCGCAGGGGATGGTTACAAAGGGATGTTGGTGCATTAAGGAAATATCACCGGAGAAAGGAGTTTCCCTTCAACTTTCGATTGGAATTTTACCTTGTAGCGTGTGCCTGGGATTGGGAAAGAAGGAGAAGTGAGGGCAGGTCTTGACTCCTGGTTGAATCTCCTCTGGCATTTTCCTGGGGACTGTCTGAAAAAGACTAAAGGGTGGAGGAGAAACTTAGAAATAAACTGTTTTGACAGAGGTGTCGCGTGAATATGGAAGTGATTGATGATAGAAGACCTTTCTTTTTATTATTATTATTATTATTATTTTCCTTTGATGGGAGACACGTCTTGGTTTGGTTTTGTTACAGGGTATTTTAGCCGGTTGCTCTCGGGTTTAGAAAATGAATCAGTCGGTTCCTCTTTCTTTTTAACAAGGGGAAAAAAAAATAATAAGGAAGGGGGGGAGGAAATAGTGTAAAACAAGAGGCTTTTCTCCCTGCCCAGCACTTAGCCCAGCACAAACACACGCCAGCTCCTCTTGTCAGTGTGAAAATAAAGCCAAGGCTGGAGCCACGGGACGGAAATGATTTCTAATTTCTCTCTAAATATAAATAGATTTTTTACTCCGGGTTAATTGTTGGTGAAAAGATTACATAAAGTGCCTAACAAAATAACCACTTCCTCGCAATCTTAGCAACCATTAAGATGGCTCACATCTCTGGAACATCCCCGCGTTTTAAAAGCTAATCTCCAGGGAATGTTTCCCTCTCCCCTCCGCCTCTTGTCTTTAATATCTGCCCTTGGTCTCTGCTTCCAAGAAATCTCCTCTCATTAGCAGCCAAGTCCTGCCTGCCAGAAACGCGTGTGTGTGTGTCCCCCTCCCTCGAGGGGACCTTGGCCCTTCATTCCCTTGCCCTGCTCATCCCCAAACTGTGACCCGAGAGGGGGTTGGGGACAGGATGGGGGGTCCCTGGGCGGGGAGAGGGGGGTGACCCGGGGGGGTGCCGGGGTCCGCTGGCCCAGCAGGCCTGTGCCCGCAGGAAGCAGCTGACCTTGCAGTCCATGCGGGTGTACGACGAGAGGCAGAAGAAGGAAAACCCCACCTCGGACGAGTCCTCCAACGAGCAGACGGCCTTCAAGTGCTTTGCCCAGTCCTCCTGCCCCGCCGTGCCTGCTGTGGGCACCTCGAGCCTCAAAGGTGAGAGCTGCGGACCCCAGACCCCTCC